TATCTTAACTTTTAAATTTTACTAGGTTAGAAGTAGACTTTTGTATCTTAACTTTTGAATTTTGCCTAGTTAAAAGTAGACTTTTGTATCTTAACTTTTAAATTTCGTACTAGTAATATGCATTATGTATGTACTTATTCTATAAGGATTTTAAACCGAAATCCCTAATCCCAATATATATAGATTTCTAAAGGTAGCTAGTTATTCTAGTTAAAATAGTAGAAATTAGATATATTAAACCTTATAAGTTTTTTATTATTAATAAAGTATAAACTCTACTTACTTATAAAAGATTTTACTTACTTTAAAAGCTTTTTAACTATCTATAGGTTATAGCTATATACCTCTATAGATTATTATAAAAAACTCTATTAGTAAGAGGTTATTTTAATAAAACCTTTACTATTAATCTTAAGTAACTATATTATATCTTAGTTTATATATTATAGATAAAGAAACTACTATAAAACTAAGTAGTTATATACTTAATATAACCTATATTTCTTATAGTTATATATTAAGAATTAGCCTTTTATTAGGTATAAGTAACTATACTTAAACTAGTTATATTACTTATAATAAACTATTTATAAATTCTATTTTAGTTTACTAGTTATATCTTTACGCTAAATAAGTTAAGAAAATCTAGGTAGTATATAGAGTTTAGCTAAGATTCTAGAGTAATAAGTAAATTTAGTTTATTATAAGTTAATATAAAAATATATTTAATCTTTATTTACTTCTAGCCTAATAATACTACTATTTTAAGACTAATTATCTTCTAGAAAAAAACTTAATTACTACTATATACTAAGGATATTAGTATAAGAATAGACTAAAACTTAGTAAAAAACTAGATTTAGAAGAAAAAACTTAGTATAGTTTAAGTTTATTTTAATTCTTAAAGCTATATACTATATTAATAAGATATATAATATAATCTATATTTATTAAAAGTTAAGATATTAGGTATACTTTAAAAAAAATACTAAAACTTTAACTAAGTTATACTACTTACATAGTTATATTGTAATAATAAAAATAGTTTATAAAAAGTAGAAAAGTAGTTTTATATAATAACTAATATTATATATCCTAAGAATTCTAGTAATAAATAATATATAAGAGTATAAATATAATTAAACTATATTATATTAGTATTTCTATAAGTTCTAACTAAATTTTATATAGACTTTAGCTTACTAGATTAGTTAGCTGTGCTAAGCTTAAATTAAGGTAAAGTTTTACTAGCGTTACTCTAAACCTAAAAAAGAAGCTTAGAGTTCTATACTATTATAACTAAAACTGCTCTAGAAGTGCTGCCCTTTCCTTACCTTACAGCAAAGGTAGTCTAATAGATTACTACCTGTTTCTAGAGCTCGAACTGTCTTAACTAAACCGGCACTTGGCTTATATAAGTCCTTACCTGGCTATACCAGCCTCTAGATCCGCAAACAGCTTCGACTAGACCTTCGGAGCCTCGCCAGGGCCCGAACGATAAAAATCTGCCGTACGCTTCTCGAGTTCGAGCCTTTGGACTTGAACCGGTATAACTCATCCTCCTTAAATTAAAAAATACCCATCCCAACGTTATAGTTTTCTTCTTCCTCCTAAATGGGTTTTTGAAATTCACATAGTGTGCCTGTCTTGAAAAAAGATTACTACTGCTGTTATATTGTAGTTTCCTTCAAGAAGCAGGTTAGCGCATATAAGTCCTTATCTAGCCGTGTCAACCTCCGGATCCATTCCCAAAACACGAGAATCGGTAACCAGTGACACTTACTACACCTCTACTAAGGAGGAGTTCTCCAAAAACTTACTGTTAATCTTTTATGTACTCTTCCTTCTTTCTCAAACATTTTTCTCTCCAAAATGTCGTTTCTTCGGTTCAACTTAAACAACTACCGAGCTAGGAAGTTGCAGATCAACTTGGCGGAACAACCGAGTAATCTGTGTTTCAGGAGGGGTGGGATGCGGGGCGGGCAGTTTTGCGATTTTGGTGTTAAGCAGTGAGTTGAGGGTGTGTGGAGTCAGGGGATGGGCATGTACATAGTAACTCGGCAGTAGAAGGGAAAACAAAGTTGTGTAAAGGAGGCAATTCAACATAAGAATGATATAATTTGCTTGCTTAACTTTGTATTTCACCACCGTCATGCATATGTGCAAAGATGTTGAGCGCGGAGTCAGTTCGAGTGATGTCTCGACTTGGCAGCACGGGCGCTCACAGTAGCGTCAGCCTCACGTTGGAGTCGCCCATTTCCCACCCACTTTGTCACGACACCGAGCCTGAATTCAGAGCCGTGTCTCGACCGCCGACCTTCCAGATTACGCGCTATTCGCACCTGCAAAGCTTCTGTTCGCTAATGCGGGGTCCGCCAACTTCCCACGACTGCACTCACCAACTCGACAAGGGCGTTGCGCACACCCTGTCGACACGACCCAACAGGCCACGGCCTCATTTTCGTCGCATTACGACGCTCGGCCCAGAGCCCCCGCCATGACCGAAGTTTCTCCAGCTCCCATACCAGGTGCTGCAAGTGCAGCCTCACCTACGATCGCGACAGTATTGCCGCTGACACGTCGCTACGCAAGTCTCCGCCGGGAGCAGACTCGATCGAAAGCCCTCACGCGATGCCCACATGGATGCCGACGATCAGCACGCGGATTGGGAGGATGGATCGATGACGTCTTCTGCAGTTGCCTTGGGCATCTCCGGCACTACCGACACCATGTCTGTCAGCGTCGCGACGACCGAACAACAACACAGTCAACATCGCTGCTAACACGCTCACTGTCATCATGAGGTGGGCGAATAGGAACACGGGCATTCGAAGATGCTGGTGGCCGGAAACATGCCTGGAGGGAGTATTAATCGCCGCACAGCCGGTGATAGTCATAAGAATGGCTCATTGGATGCTTCCTTGGGTAGCTGGCATGAAGCGTCAACCTTCTCTAGAAGTCGCCTCGGGTATCTCCATCGTCGCTCCTAACGCGCTTATCGCTATCACAACGCCCACAACTATCGCAACACCTACCGCAACAGCACCCACAGTTGAGATGCTACCGCGCAAGCCTCCACCGGGAGCCCCGTCGAACGAACGCCCGCATTGTACCCAAAACAAGCCCAAATTATCGGCGGCAGAGAACGGTCGTAAGCGCAGATCAAACGACGCTTGCATGTGCAACCCACTGCAACCGCTTCTGCAGCTGGAATGTCGCTGTCTATGCCCTTACCGGAAGCCCCCTCACTTGAATGTTATTGCACGGGGCATGTACGCGAGCAAACCACTGCTGGGGACGATTACAACAACGGCGCAGTAGATACTTGAATGTGGAATTAGCTAGGCGTACTTCCTTCCTCTGCGCGTTTACCTCGGGCGGGTGGCATCACTGCGAAGATGCACACCATCAGACACTACTGGGCCCACAACTCAACGGCCGGTCTGTTACATCGACGTCTTCGGGAGTCGCAGTGACCTAGCCTATCAGCATCGTCACCGATTTGCATCCCGGCGCCACGTCTAGCGGGCAAGGATACATTGGCGTAGAGACAGTGAAGAATCACTTCGGTGTCGCAAGTCAGGGAAGAATGGTCTTAAACACACCCACCAGCGCCGCAACCGATGGACAAGAGCACAGCAGTACGACGATGCTGTAACGCCGCGGAGCGTCCCACATGGATACCGCGACAAGGTGGTGTCGTGATGATGAGGGAGGAGATGGGCGGTCACAGCTGTCTAAAGAAGAGGCACATCTGTGCTTGAGGGTTGGCCTCAACATTATGGTGTGCACACTCAACTCGGACTTCACCAGCATTTCCGCCCCCACACTCGCCGTTAGCGCGAGATGAGCGAACATGAATACGGGCGAATCTTGACGCTTTCCAGAGCAAACATCAATGCATTGACGCAGCGTGTTGACGCCGAACAGGCAGCGGTGGTGCTCCAGAAGGACGTGGGCCATTACGACCTACCAACCAATGGACACATCGTGACGCACCATTACACGCTTGGGCAGACCTCCGCCGGCCCCATCGTTGTACTCTACATTGTTTCCCCAGCCAATCATGCTTCACCGTCGTCCATCGCAGCACCTCTGCCAGCCCGTCCACCAGCACTGCGACGACTATTAAACAGCCTTGCCAAAAGTGAACACCGACTCGGGGAAGTGGGCTGTCACAGGGTAAGGAAATGCATGCAGCGGAACGATGCACAAGACATACTGCGACGACATGGAATGCGCCATGCCTGTGGAGGTCGTTGTGGTAAAGACAGAGATGGATGACTCTTACTGCGAACGGGTGGATGCGACTGTGAGATATCAAGGGCTGTTCCATGCGTGGTGGGCTTGACAAGACGCCGCGCTTTGGGCTATTGCCTCGAGCCACACCTCCGGCATTACCGCCGATGCGCTTCTCACCATCACGAGGCAAACGAACAAGGATTCAGTGAAGTGGGGGAGGCTGCACGGAATGGAAATCGTCGCGGCGGAGCGTTCCGCCGGCGTACTGCATCAACGTGGCGTGTTCAACCGGGAAAATACATTCACATGACGTTGAAAGAACGGAAAGGCGGCTGAAGCCTCCAACGGATGGTGCGTCAATATCTCCGGTATATTTCATTCGGGTACCTCCTCAACCATCACCACCAATGCATCAATCGGCATTGCCACGAGCGAACAACGTCACAATTGTGGGACTCTACTGAGGAGAGGGATCAATGTGGCGGGGCGTTTTGTAAGCAAACTGCGACGATGCGGCGTACCGAGGCTGACAGGGAGGAGTTGCGATGGAGAATGAAGAGACGGCAACCACGTTCTACCATGATGAAGTATTGACGTTTTCTACAGTCGCCTCAAGTACCTCCTCAGCATCACCGCTGATGCACCGACCGGCACCACGACAAGCGGAACCTACGCGACAAAGCGTGCAACACGCTACGAAAGGCTTCGATGTGATAAAACGATCCATCCTAATGGCGAAGAGAACAAGTCATGGTGAAGATGGAAAAGATCGGTGAACGGACCCCGTCATCGTCGGCATCTGGGCTTCACGCCCTGGCTGAAGATGGCGTGGCAGAGGTCCCAAGCTTGTATAGGAGACAAGTCGAGCCAGATTTTCTCACGACATGATGCGCCGTCTCAGGAAGTCCACAGGGTTGGGAACGACGATGGTGAGCCTCGCCAAGCAAAGCGTTGGTGAAGGTGAGCGTGATACGAACCTCGACACGCCGACACTCCGTGCTCACCGCGACCAGTACTGCATCTGCGACTACCCTGCCGTTGCGCTCGATACCAACACGCTTTCCAGTTGCTCTCCAGACTCGCAGCGCTCCCCGCATTACCATCCACGACCGTTAATCACGAGCGCTTTTTTCCCACCCTTGCACGACAAACGATTGTACGACGCAGGTCGGACACCCAACTCAGCATGTAAGCCAATGCCGCTGCCGCTGCCAACGTTGCGTGCGCAGAACGCTAACTACCTACGACCAGCTCTTCAATTCTAACCGCTCTCCCAGTCATGTCGTCCCCCGCACTTCCCGCAATTCGCCGGAGCCACCGCGTCGCTACTGACTTGCACCGCCTGGCCGAGAACGATCCGCCCGCGAGGATTCACACGACGCTCGCGAGGCCCGCGACATGTACATTTGCGCCCAAAATTGTCACCTCCCACACCGACCTCGACGAAGGAGTGCTATACATGGTCGTCGCCAAACGACGTGATTCGGCGGTGGAGACCTCGCATTCGCTCGATCTCAAGGTTGATGGAGGAGAGCTGGCATACACCGCAGTGAGGACTTCGTCCCTGCACGATGGCGTGACTGGAGGTGTGGCAGATCCCGCGGTAGTGGACGAGGACGGCTTCGCGCGCGATGAGCGCGGGTCTGCGATTGGACACAAGTCGTGATTGGCGTCGGAGGTTGATGGATAAAAGCTGCTCGCGTCTGTTTCGGAGCTTATGGCATGGGATTGGCTACGGACTCTGCAGTGCTCCCGGTGGAAAGGCAACGTTCATTGGCATGCCATCGTGGATGGAATGGCGGATGTTCCTGCTTTCGGCGTTTTCGGCGTTTTCGATGCTCTATGGTATGGCAGCAAAAGCGGGTTCAGCGATGTATGCTGCGGCGAAAAGGCAACGACTGGACTGGCTGCGAGCTCTTCGGCGGTTCATCAATGCCAGTAACTACGGAACTGGTGCATCTCGGAGGTCGGAGAAACTCGACATGTGATTGGTCGAGAATGGAATACATGTATTTCATATTTTCGGAGGCGGTGGGGGCAACCAGCTGAAATCAAACTCTTGGTTGAAAACTTGTGCAGCCCGTGAACATACTTTTGGCTTACATGTTTTCATGTCCTTTCCTTTGAGGGATGTCCCGGCTTCTTCTTCAAACAACCGAAAACACCATGAACGATGTGCACAAGCCTTTTGAAACACCAAACGAAAAAGAACATGTCCTTGGCGGCAATCTTTCCTAAGAACTATGAGAGGGGAGAATAGCATGAGCAGATCTTTTTCGGTTTTCGAAAACAACAACATAGACAAAGCCACGTATACTGGAGGTAGAAGAAGGCTCCGGAGAAAGCATAAGGCCGGCGGCGATGATTTTGAGACCGAGAACAAGAGACCGGACTATCCTATCTGTTGGGTACTTATGGTTTGAAGAGAGCGAGCGTCTCATATTCTGTTAGAACATTGGTATTTTGAAGATTGGAGTAGAGCGTTATTGAGGGTTTGAAAAGCGAGCAGGATGCCATTGATGATTTCAACGGAGAAGACCATAAGAATGAGAGCAAGATCTTTTGAAAGGAATTGAGCCGAGAAGACCATCAGTTGAGCAAGTAGATCTTTTGGAAAGAGAATATGTGGATAAGTGAGGGCGGAAAAGGCCATGACCTGTTCCTTCTACTTTTTGGTTAATGAGAGCACAGGATAGACCATGATGTTTAACCTCGGGCTTTTTAAAAAGAAGGAGCGGACAGCCTCATGAGCTGCAACGGCGTGTTTTTTCAAACGGAGAGAATAAGCACACATGTTCGGCGAACTCGAACTTTTGCACATTAGACATGCGTATTATAGGATTTTGAATTTAGAGATAGAGTATTTTTTGGAATAACGAAGCCTCTATTCAAGGACGATCTTGATGTTTTGAATAGGTTGAATGATATTTGCAAGGACCTGTTTGTGAAAGCAGCAGGCCATAGATATAGCATGGTTGGGTTTTTGGAAGCATCGGAAACAGCGGCCACTTTTGAAAGGATGGCTGACCACTAATTGGAATCGATTGATTGTAGCTTTACAGAAGTTTGGGCAGGAGATATTCGTTTCGCGGATCTAGTACAGCATGCATGTGCACACACTGCCAGGACGCACACAGGTTCTATCCTAGCAGTGTGCTTGAGTAGATGTAGTTTTTGGGATTCAATTCGGGAGCGTCGGTGTTGATCCACATTTCCAAGATTTTGTTGCTGTTGAGAATGGAAGAAAACGTGGACATGTACTTCCGGAAGTAGTATCTTGAACAGTTAACATACCTTGAAAAGTTTTACTTCTCGAGGTTCATTCTGTGTAGATAATTCTGGGAAGTACTCGTGTGCTCTCTCTTCGTAAAACTTCAAGAAGGATATAGGGTGTAGATGTAACGCTTTTAAAAGCCGAAACAGAGTAACTAACATAGGGTGCAGTTTCGAGTTCTTAATCAATCAGACTAGATTGGTGGACATGAATATGTGTTTTTGTGTTTCGAGAGATCGAGCAGAGAAACGGGTCTAGCCACATGTCGTTGCGTTCAAGGATACTGTGGGTGATGGGGCATACATAGCGGTGACTTTCCAAGCTTGTGCCAGAGTAAAGATGAGGTAACGAAAGCCACAAAGTTAAAAGCCCGAAGAACGAATAAAACTCCGGTCTTTGAGGCTCCCATGGAGCAAACACCCGGAGGATGACATAACTAGAAAATTCTCGAGTTTCACGTATCGATCGAGTCATGGAATAAGGAATATAAGTGGCCGTATCATGTTGCAAAAATAATGGTTAGCCACACAGCTGCTACAGACTCGGAGTATAGGAAAGACAGACCTATTGTAGGGAACGTCAGTTTTCAAGAAACGAACAGATAGTGAGAAACGCCTTCCACTTCTGCAATTTGCATTGCCACAATGTTGGGGCATTTTGGAAACTACCATCACATACGATAGTGTGACTACCTGTAGCAGCATCAGAAATCCTCTGGGATACCGAGGATGCAAATATATATTTCTAAGCTGCAAGCAATGTTATACACTGCTGTAAGTAGGTCTCGTCCGGAATCACGTCATGGTGTAAGCAAAAACGTTCCAGAAAGTACTATAGCAGTGAATATAGCTACCATCACGGCTTTGTAATTGGAAGGATAACTTTCAACTGTGTAGGACGTGTTTAGCACCGCGATGGACTTGTGAATCGAACAATATATCAAGCCAAATCATGTCAGTCTAGGAACTGCCGAGATCGGCAATAACGAGCTATTCCAAAATAACTAGTCAAGGCAGTTAATTCAAAAGATTGCAGAAGAGGTTACTTGTTCTTGGACAGGATCTCAAACATCGAAGTTATAGTCCTGTACCAATCCCAGAAACCTCGAGTCAATCTGCTCGCCACGCTCCTCCTTAATAGCACTCGGAGGCAGTGGAATAATCTACGGTACTAGTCTTTGCATCTGTACAATAACTAAACAATCCAAAGAATTATCAATATGCTCAACAAAAGAATTACTTGCTCGTTTATCATTAATGTCTACCGAGGGCCTGGGCGTAGAAGGCGTGTCGAGATTTTTACATTTCTGTGTAAGTGCAGGTAATTGTACACAGCAACATATTATTACTAAGAGACGCGCATAAGCAACGGCTTTATTGGATGCATATTCGGGCTTCACTTCGGGTTTTGGTAATAACTTTAATCGGGCGTTAACGTCAGAGCAAGCATGTATTGGCTAAGATCCATTTCAGTTTACAAATATCCTGCATCAATCTTGAATCTCGAGATAGGAAAATAATCATGTGGTAAGATCAACAGGCTAGCTTATAAAAGTGGCTCTTGTACTACGCCATGTTTGTTTCCTGTTCTGTATTCAGAGTCTCAGTTTTCTCGATTCTGTGTCATGTGTCCATGGATAATCACCAAGAAGTTAGCCTCTCCGTAATATTAGCAATTCAATATGCATCCTCAAAGAAACGTGCATAGAGATAAAGTTATCAGGCAGTATATTCTTTGTTCTATCTCAATCAGTAAAAAGCGGTTCATGTCAAGAAACTAGAAAAGACAATATGTATATCGTTCACGAGGACTAAGAATACAAAGGCACTTCGGCATACTTCGGCAACGCAATCCGGCTACGACTCCAAAATCGTTCGTCGCACCTCAAACAATTCGCGCTTAAATTCACAATACAGATATCCCCATCTTAGACCATCGTTAAGATAAGCGCGCCAAACTTCACGAAGAGACTCTACCTCAAAATAGTTTTCAAGCGTTGCAGTAGTCGGCAGCCACCCAGCGTAGCAAAGTTAGGTCTTGTTACGATCTGGGAGGTAAGTTAAAGGCTGGAGTTAGGACGGACAAACAATACATTTAAGCTGTTTTGCGATATGTAGTAGTTCCTTCAAGCCTGTCATACTTATATTTAGCTGAGGTCCTAACGAGTTAATCTCGCTAGTAGCGTCGTGTTCGTCAGACGAAATGCATTACAAAGGAAAGGCATTAACTCCAGAGAGCGATGCGCTGCTTACTGTCTTCAAATCAGACTATAAGTAAAGTTAGTCTAAGGATGGTAAGAAAGGCAGAAGTGCACATACAGTCATCTGTTGCATAGTGCTTCTTTCCTTTCAAGTACTAGAAGTAAACCCCTTTATCTCACTACCATTGCCACTTCAACCCAACGAGCGTGACTCTTACTCAGCCTTTAACGTTCCAGCCCTCGTTCAGCTAGACGTTTTGATCACTTACTCGGCTACCGTCGTTCCCTCCCATCTCAATCAGCATGCATACTCCCATAACGCATCTTGTCCATCGCACTAGCTTCACCACATAGCAAATACTTCTGGACAAGACACAGATCATGCACCACTCGGGTGGTTTGTTAGTAACCGGGCAGCAATTAACAGCAACCGAGGGAAGCGAATTTCTAATGTAATCGAACAAAGGTTAAGAAGCAAAAGCAGCTAGTTTTGTACACTGTAGCGGCACGGTCCATCTATAACTATTAGTTAAATGCTTTGTAAAGTGCTCCTCTAAAAACTGAAGCGCTATTACTAGATATCACTAGACCACGGAGTTGCGTAGGCGAAACGATCACGCGCTGTTCTAACTTCAACTAGGGTTGTTACAACGCAAAGATATGTCAACGCCTTCAATGCTCGCGAATCTCTTCAATATACTTAGTACTTCCTCTTACGTCTGCCGAATTATCATGCTCGCGAATGGCTGCACGCTACCGGATAATGCCGACGATAGCCCCGCAGCTATGTCCGCGCCGGCCCGTCTTGGCAACGGGCGCTACTTGAGTCATGCGACGATCCTCCACTGAAACTCATTGGTCGCCGTCTGTCATCGCAGTTTCTACACGAGTGACGCTTGCACCGAAGTCTTGCAATACCGTAGAACCTCCTAGCATTGATGCAATACCTTGAAGAGAGATAACTAGCCCAAGGTACAGATGCTGCTTACTGTAAATACTGGATCTATTATGTTAACTGCGTGTCAAGATTTCAAAGTGCAATTCTCAGTAGTGACGATAACCCAGACCGATATACACATACAACAAGCAAGACAAGTTCGGCGTATATATGTGAGCACACTGGTACAAAAGCACGTCACAATGATTTCGGTGCTTGTACAGCGCGCTGCTTAGCTTCAATGTAGCTTGCGCCATTTATAACGATAGCGCAACCTGATTGACTTATTCAAAGTCTGTCGCGCCACTCACTTGTCTTCCACGCACAAAGCCTCGCCACAAATATCCTTCGCGTACATTGACTTCTGCCTGACAGGACCGTGAGGTACACCCATCTTCTTTAATTGCGCCTCGAGGTAACACTCTACGGGCGCGTGCCAGTCGTGTCTCACCTGAGTGAAGTCCTGGGCACTGCGCAGTAGTCATCCACTTGGGCGCCTGCAGTATCCATCGGTCAACGGTGTTTGTCACTAACCAGCTTGAGGCTGCATCGTGTACCATAAGCGGCATCATATCATTTTGTCACAACTATGTCTTTGCAATCACGATTACACCTTGAGTTCCAGCTTCACGCTTGAGCTCCAACCACCTCTTTGCCTTTACAACCATACCTTCCAGTCTTGACTACACCTTGCGGTGCCAAACAGAACTTCCGGTTGCACATATCTACCACATCACGATTGTTAATTCCAATCTGTCAACACATATTGCGCACCCGCTCTCCGCTTCCATTTTTGAATCAAAATCCTCATCCTTAGCTAAGCACCCGTGCCATCAACAAAACATAACAACTCCAACCCGCTTTCCAGTAACTCTCGACGTCAGACGCCCAATACAACCGGACTACCTAACGAGAGTGTTTGTAGCACAATCTCACATGTGGCCAATTTCATTGAACATAGCTTCCTCGTCTCGCGTGGGACCAGCGAAAGATTTCAGACAACTGTAACCGATATCTCGAAGGGAATCCTTAAAGAACATAGCCATGCTATCTACAAGCCCCTCGGCTTGCACTTCTTACCTCTTCTCGACACTTCTGCGGATGATTCCGTTTATGTTGATCATTACAACGATAGTCTTGCATCTTATCGCGTACTTTCTCGGGCCTTGGATGCACGCATCTGTGCCCTGTACCTGTGTGTAGAAGCGAGTTAGCGAAACCTTCCCCTCATCTCAAGCTGGGGATCAATTGTGCAAGTTGTCACGACCTTCCAGGACTGAGATTGCGTTGACGAATTCTACGGCGCCAATGTCATGTTTCCATCGGAAGGAGAGCACGACACCAACAGATATCACGACGCGTTCAACAGTGTAACAATGTGGTGGTTTTTGGGTACGGCCCTCGCACAAAACTCGTAGTATCCGAACCTCGCTGGCTGTGGTTGGCAATTGCTGTTCAAAATCCTGAGTGCGCGATCGTGTTCAGTTCAATGAGGTACACAAACTGCGCAAGACAGTGATTATGTAGCAGATGCATGATATATCTGACCTTTGCTCATTGACGATGCAAGCGGCGCTGTCTTATAGGAGCCTGCAGGTATACCAAAGGTCGCCAACAATGCTTTTACCAACGAGCACAAAAATTAGGCCGTAAGGTCTATCGGAAGTGGCAACATTGCGTCGTTGTATGTTCCGTTCGACTACATTTTGGCACTAGCGGAAAGTAGCTGGTAATCGCTTATTGGAAAGAATACCATGGAATCTCACAAACGGTTTCCAACTGCTACGTTGAAACCGAGAGACAAGCGCTGACCTTGCAGAACCATCATCAGCTTCGAGAAACCAGTAACGGCCATATAGGTAACAGAACCAGACCAGCTAATATGATTATCAGAAGTGCACATCCGGTCGACTGTAGCCAGCAGTATGAACAGCCCTATCGTGACTGAGTCCCCTTTAGGTCACATTATTTGGATTTGCGCAATTAGATTGAGCATTTCAGAGGATACATCAATGCGCGGAGGTTGACTCTTTGGTTCTATGCATGGGTCTGTTTGTGTTGAGCGAGCGTAGTAAGCTCTGAGCAGATCATTTCTAGAACTCCCGCATGGCTTTAACTTGCGTCTATTACACTAATCCATGGTTTTCTACACTTGTTTAACTCCTATAGCTAATATTCCTCGTTCCGTCAGCTTTGATGTGTACTTGTGAATAGCAAGGCCGGCATTAAAGAGAATCGCTCTTTACTGCCGCTTGTCTTGAGCCAGGTGTCGATCACAGCCGTGGTCTGTCTCTTAAGTACGGCGAGGTGCCTTGATGTCTCACGTCACTGCCTAGCTGAGGTTTGTTCTGTGTGACCTGTTGGATGTAAAACGTCTGAATTTATGCAAAGACCTGTCACTTTGCTTGGGTTCCTTGGTGACGCCTGCGGGATAATACCTGGTCTGTACATGACCATCTCTAAGGACGTCTCAGTGGCATGTAATCATTGGTTATCTATGTATCGTTGTGGTAATATCGAATTCCATTTGTGGTCTGCTCTTTAATCGACATAAACCTTGCTGATCTTTGACATGTGGTCTGTACGCCCTTTCAACATTTGCTCGTGGTTAGAGTTAAGACGCAATTTCATATATCTCCTTCTCAATTTTATTGACAGATTCTTTATGTCTGAGAGACTCTGCAGGTTCATTCGCGTTTTGATATCTCCCCTGCTTGGTCTTTTCGTTAATTGCCGTCATGTCTAGCTCCTCGTGCCAGCCCTTCTTCTTGAGTCCCTAAATGACTTGGTGGTTATCCTTGCTAGGTTATTGCATGTCATCGGAGAGAAAGGGGAGAGTCACTTCCTCGAGCTGTGCTTAGAACTCGGTGTTTGTAAGTTTTTCATCGGGATCGCGGTCTTGATTGCTTATACGCATTCAGTTATGCCTACCCTTCCAGTGTACAAGAAGTTGGTTCTGTTTCAAGGCGCCACCTTTTCCGTCACTGTTACAGCATGATTAACTGGGATAAGGGACATATATGCCGACTGGTGCGCAGAAAACAATCGTTTACCTTCTTTACTACTCAGCCAACAACCTATCCTTCTCGACACCAAGTTTTCAACCTGACGGGAATTGCGCTATACATTTTACCGCTAGAAGAGACACATACGCAGCTATCGCTACAAACCACAGCATCTATCCAGACGTAATTGACATTTTCAACAGGAACACCTGGGGCTGTTCTCAATTTGCCGGCCTAAATCTTGGTCAAATCTTTTGCGTCAACAAGTTGAACTCACCCATGCGCGAGGCATTGCCACATGCGTGCAGAAAGACAATGCGTTCAGTTACAGCGAGAACCAAGGTACTACAGTCGCTGCTAGTTGTAGGTGTGTTCCTTTGCGAGAGTAATAGTAAAACGTGCTCCCTTTGACATACATGTGTATTGAGGTGACGGGCTTCTGGTCGGACGGCCGGGGCGTTGGCGTGATAAGTACAATGACGGCAATGGCATTAGCTAGGAAGGCTGATCTGAAGTTCGCAGGTGCGCATGTCCACGCGACGTCGGATTATCACGGCGGGTGCTGGGACAACGGCTGCATACAATTTTGCAGGGGGATATTGGAATTGGGTCAAGGCTTGTTGTTGCAGTTTAATTACTCTTCACATTCTTCACATTAGCAGCTTCAATAATCGTAGAAGTAGGAAGAGGGACTTGTAACGCTTGGCATGCTCTGCTACGTGGTTCAGTGACGGAGAAGCTTACCGTCGATGCAGGTCAACGGGCGCTTAGAAGCTGACTTGACAATACCTCCGCTCCTGAGCAGCACTAAACTATCAAAAAAATGCGTTTAGCCGTTAATCCTGAGCCAATCGACATTATTCCAATCTGTCCAACTAACACCACAATACGCAAGCGCGTGCATATATTGCCAGCCACGGGAAATATGTCACGCCCGAATTCAAAGCGTCGCCATCACGCAGGGCATTTCAAGCGTCTTCTGTCATTCACAGACGCCGCAAAATCACCGCGCTACTATGATTTCGAGAAAGGATATACTGTCTTCGATGCATTGGGGGCGGATCACATCTACGAGTACCTACTAACACGAAGTTATCAGGCCATGTCATTCCTCATGCTCCATGTATGAACTTCTTCCTGTTCCGAAGAGAAAGGTATTTCAAGGCTAACGTGGAAAAGCGTAGGGAGAGCGATGTCGCCAGTAACATTGAGACGCAAAAGGGGTTCGTGGGCTTGAGAAGGGACTCGTTCTGCATAACGCAAGACAGCTCACCTATATCACGCAAATCATCAGTTCTTTATGCTTTCCATACGCCTCTGGTTGGCAACAGAATCTCTCTAGATAACTCCACACACAAGCATCGGAGCGCATTGGATCCGCTGAGCCGAAGATTACCTACACACGGGCAATCATCACGCCTCGCTATCTTCCTGGTGTGTGTATGGCCCTCCAAACCTTTCTAGCATGAGTGATCCAATGTTGACATGAAGATTCGGTACAGGCAGAGATACTCAGCGCGGCTCAGGATTGTGTTGCTTTTATATCTTCCTTCTCGTCATCGGGCTTGAGAAAAAACTCATCGAACACACAGCAGGCAAATACGTTGTGCTATACCACTCTCAATCTTGGCCCATAACAGCTCTTACGCGATTCCCATATCACCCAAGAGATAGTACACTGATGACAGCTTGCAAGTCTCATGCGCATGCATCGAGCCACTGAGATGTGTACCTCGTCCTCCCAACCTGGGGATAACCCCAAGCAGCCGATTATGACGTTCCGCGATTTCCGTGTGCGTTTCCAAGCTTTTCCAAGCATAATGACTTTGAAGTTGACGCGGAGAAAAGGAGGCAAGCTGATATTGTTGGAGACATTCAACATACGGATCGGAACTCTTACATCTTGCCGTCGGGCTCAACCACAAACTGCCCGGGCACTTCAATCGAGACATGCCAACAGCAAGAACAGTAACAGCTTTACTGTCGTTCATCAGCTTATACAGGGGACGGGGTAGTTGGTCACGACTCGCTTGTGCTGTTGTTGGACTTGGGAAGAGACCCGTCAGAGCTATATCGCGACCTAATCATGTTCCGCTAGTACCGAAAACACACAGGATAAGTAGGGGCCTTTGTTCAAGGACTTGTACAGACAATGAGCCGGACTCTGATGGTACGCATTATGTCTGCCCAGCCCAAAGTGAGACCAAGCTCAAGCAGGACAGGTGTACACTGTGGTATGCAGTGTTGAGTTTTCCCTGGTATACGCCTCAATACTTTCCGAGACTGCTTCATGGCTGACGTACAAGAGAACAACCAGGTCAATGTTGTTATAACTGTCGCGAGTGATATTAGGTTCGAGAGAAATTTCGTGGTGTGCTAGAATACGACGGCATCACCACACTGAGTTTCATCAAACATGATAAGTTCGGCCCTCGGGCATGAGTTGCAACAATTCTTACGCAGATAAATTACAACATTCGAAACACGTCATATCTCGCACAGCTCAACAGCGGCCGACCTGCCATCTGGCTCGCCAACGTAGACCGGGAAATGTATCAACTCGATGAGCAAGAGAACGTCAGCTCCGAACTTATCACACATTTCAACGGAGATTGGAAAGTTGGGAAGAATGTGACAGTTCTTTCGGTCTGCATATACAGTATAGAAAAAGGGGCTGTGTTCGAGGATGTATGCAAACACCGAGCCGAACTAGGTCTTGGTCAAGATCTCGATCACATTCACCCGCAGTAAGATGCCAAGGAGCAACGCGATGACACACGCTGAGCCCGAAACAAAACACACTGTAGTGAACTAAATCCTGTTTGGGGAGCTCGACGTCGACCCCAGACTCTCAACATCCTACAACAACGCCTGTAATGACTGCTCAGACGAGCGATTTGGGACGGCTGCCATTGAACGACTCCGTTGAATTAATCGCCTGAGGATGTTGACCAATGCTCACCCAACCAAACCGGCAAGAGCAGAAGGTGGTGTCTCACCAGTCCAAAGCTTTGAAGATCCTACCAGTGAGGCCTCTTCATCTTCCCATAACAAAGCATATATCGGCAGCTGAGATGATTCACGGAACAACAATGACTTCTTATTTCACTGAGGCGAGGAGAGGGATTTCGTAGCGTCTCATATTCATGGTTAGCCGTTAACGAGCTATGCATGTATGTAAAGGTTTTGCTTTGGGTAGAAGTTTGACAATGCGAAGTATGTTGTACATCATGGCTAAGTAGGTAGCCATACCACTCGTGGTTATGAGTGACCCGAGATCAAGTATGAAGAGGAATTATCAAAGGAGATAAATAACTCACCTGTAGCTTATCCTAGAATAAGAGGCGCAAGGAGAAAGAAACCTAAGACAACCAAGCAGAAGCGAAATAAAGAGCAACTAAAGGAGCTGCGGGGAAGGGAATATTCACCTCAATAGTCTAGTTAGAGTATCTGCAACGACTACCAAGAATTGTACGGAAAACTGATTTACTCAAGAACATCCCAAAGCTTCGTTACGACTCTTGACGACTGCTTGCCTGCCTGCTCACCGAGCACGGGTTTCACCGGTAACACGCTTGAAATGCTATCCATCTCCAGCAATGGCAGGAAATAGCTTCAAGCCCGCCATGCTCAGCTTAACACTTTGCTTTACTTTCGAACTTTCTGCGCAGAAATTCCTTTTCATCGCTCCATCCTGTTCGAATCCTGTGAGATAAGCCAAGTTCAAAATCCCTATCCACCTTGTTCTACAACCCCATTCGACAAAAGTAATAGTATCACGATAAGTACTCCACTCTCTCCCCCCAAATATCTTTGTCAGATTGTCCCATCCCATTATCCTGAAAAACCTCCGTCCTACTGTCTGAATATCTCTGCCAATTAGGAGAAACCTTCGATTACAGGAACACACTTCAACAGCAGAGATCAGATTACCCAAGACATGTACTAGGTTTCCAATGTCTTGGTTCATCTACTCTCTTGGTAGAACATAAGAGTACACTGGAAAAGTTGTAAGTGGAGCTGTGTTTACATGAGCGTTTTTTTGTTATGGGGGGGGGTTTACACAAGCTTGTTCGTGGGATGAGTTCGTGGAATAATGCAGATGCAGAAGGAGTGTTGTGTTGTGGATAGTAAGAACCTACCTTGCCTACAAACTCGTAAATTCTACAAACCTCCTTAATACATCTGCAAATAGGATCTCCGGTAATGTCTTCTTCTTATTAAGTTGTAACGTCTTTGTTCTATATTTTACTGGTTTGTCCGCGTCTAAAAGCAGACTAGATTATCTAAGTTATAGAGTTAAGTACTTATTAGTCCGCTTTTCGTTAGTGTATATATATCTCAACCCTTCTTCCTCGCTGGTCTATAATTAAGTTGTAAACCTGCCTATAGAGTCTAGAACAACCGGTATAGACTTCTTGTTAGTAGGTACTTAATGAAAGCTTTCCCTATTCCGCACTTTGCAGTTCACTTCCAAAGGCCTATAGGGATGAATAGGGATCACGAGACGTAAAAGATACGGCCACGAAGGATTTGGTGCAGCGGGACTTTGAGTTCAAAAGAGAGACTCCAACAACTATCTAGACTGGAGAAACGGTTCGCATTGTATTGGGTATCATTTGCTAAGAACATTGCCGTAAGCACACCATCCACCCATCCGCCCTTCTACCCCATCACGCCAAAACCATCTCCCTTCCATCACCCCACATTCCCCACCCCTTCCAGTCCATCACCTCTTCCCCTCCGGAACGCCGCAAATGTCGGCCAACTTGGCAAAATCGGCCGTGAGCGGAATACTCGCGATGGTGGCCTGAAAAGCCTGGAAGTCCTGCAACGCGGCCTGATGCCTAGCCATGTCATGCTGAACGGCCATGATGGCTTTCCCCGCCTCCATGACGGCGCTGCCAATCTCCTCGCGCGCCCTCTTCAGCGCGTCAAGCCGGCCTTCGCTCTCCTCGACATCCTTCTGCAGCCTGCCGCGATCGAACGAGAGGGTGATGTACTTGTTGATGTCGGGGTTTTCCTCGTCTCCGGCGATGGCAGCGCGCAACTCGTCGATCTTGTCGGCGACGCTGAAGTTGCTCTTAAGCGTGGCGGTTTGGGCGCGGGCCTGCGTCTCGGCCTTGTCGAAGACAGCGTAGTCGTCGTGGTATGTGATGTGCAGCTCATCGAGGGTGCGTTGCTTGACCTTCTGGAGCTTGGTGTCAGCCGCGAGCTGGCGTTGCTGGGCAAGGGTAACGTGTGTGGCGGTGTCGCGAATGTTGCCGATGTGGTAGCCCAAGCCTCGGTCGTGGGCGTCCTGGAGCGCCTCGACAGTCAGCATGTTGTTTGTTTGTGCTGTGTCATTGTTGAAGGTGTTGTTCGATTCGGATTCGTCGAAATCGGGCAGTTGGGGAAGTTCTTCGTGCTCGATGGCTGAAAGTTCGAATGAGTAATCACGATCGATGAGGGACGCCTCGACGATGGACTGCTCGACGATAGACGGCTCGAGTTGGGAGGCAGCGAGGCTAGGCGAAGAGTGGTGACGCTCAAAGTCTCCGTGGTCGGCGCGGCGGGCGAGCTCGGGCGATGGAGGCGAGAACTGGGGATGGTTGGGCGTTGGCGTGGGCGTGGGTGAGGGAGTGGCAGGCGGCGTTGACACAAAAGTGGCAGGCGCGACGGGCGACTTCGTAACGCGGCGACGCTTGCTGCACGGGTCGCGGTACTGGTCCACGACGTCACTGGTGCGTGTCGTCAGGCGGTCGATGTACTCGCGCAGGTCTTGCGGGGTGACGGTCCGCTTGCCCGCGTCGGCCAGCGCCTTCTGCGAGTAGGTGAAGCGCAGGGTGGCGATGCGGCGGGCGAGGAAGGGCGGGAAGCTGGCGACAAACACGTCAAACTCCTCCAGCCGCGCGAGCTTCTGCAGTGTCTCGACGAAGCCGATGGTCGGCTGGTCGGCGCCGTGCGGGAAGGGGATCGACGCGTCGAGCAGTCGCGCGAGGAAGGTGGGCGGCCAGCAGTCGTGTATTGACGCGAGACAGCGGACGATGCGCGCTTTGGGCGAAAGACCCCGCGCACGCACAAACGCCGCTCTTATCGGCTCGGGCGCGTCGGAGTCGTGGGTGAACTGCTCGAGGGTGAGGCCGAAGTGCGAGTGCACCCCCGCGTAGACTGCCGCGACCCAGAATGTGTCGGCTGCTGCGCTACTCTCTGCAGCCTGAGTGGATTGATTTGGCGCGCGCAGCAGGTTCCACGTCTCAGTGAAGCGGGCCCTCGCTGCGTCGCCGTCGAGGGTGTGGGCGACCAGGGCGTAGCTGGCTGCATGCTCCATCAGGGTGCATCGAACGACTCAAAAACGCAGCGCATCTCCGTACACGTGGTGTCCGCAAGAGGACGAAAGATCGAGGCTAGTGACAGGACATTGCTGGTCGGTATTGAGCATGCGCGTGTGTAGGTCGCGACTTCGATGTGGGAGTGTCGACGGTCGCCAAGTCAATGCGGAGATAGAGGCTGTCTGATTGGCTGACCTCGTTCTCTCACTCCCACGACTACGACCAACAACACAGGAGATAGATCCATGTGTACTACGCTGCACGGCCTGAAATTAATAGTGGAGGGTAAACAGCGTATTCCCTTCACGTTAAATGGCGGTCCGAGCCCGAAGTCCTTTGCGCTCCAAAGGTATACATAATCGTACCCAATGCCAATATCCTTCGCACACGACCATATTCCCAGTCACGCAGCCTCACTGGCCTATGCAGCCAATCACCACATTGGCATTTCAGAGCCGCATCAACAGGTGCTCTCTGCGAGCTGACTTGATCATTCTCACAAATGAAGAGAAATTGCCAACATTCCAGCAGTCGTGCCAGAACAAACTATGCATTCCTTGATATTCTCTTTGTTGGTATCATTGCTAGTCCGAAAAACAACGCTACAATCGAGCGTCAGTTATGGAAGCAATGAATAGCAGATGGGCGCATCTCAGGTGTGTTGGTAGGTGTGTTGGTAGGTGTATTGGTGGGTGTGTTAGTGAATAGTCTTGTTCGCCGCCACAGCTCAATTAACCAACTCGCGATGAACAAAGGGCAGATGAAATCCTCCAGGCGCAGGTAAGTTAGAAGCCAACTCGGCAGTCGGGCCGAACCAAGCCACGAGCCGACATGCAGATCGCGCAATGCATGATGGTTGAAATGACAGGGGAGCTGGTCCAAGTTCCTCGCTCTTGCAGCCCACTCAATAAGGTCGAGTCAATACGTCACAGTAAACGTTGGTGTCGGTTGCTATTTTCGAGGACAGCTTATAACAACAATTCGCAACAAAGTTGTGTTCCCTCCGAATCACACCTCCCGTTGCTGAAAAACCCGAGCACATCAACTGCATTTGTTCCATGAACCAGGTGTTTGGTTCGGGTTAGCGCATGGCGGGTGTGTGGGGTGGCTAGCGCGACCCTGAACTATGACGAAGCGCAACGGTCGCTCGACAAGACCGAGTATGCAACTCAGCAACCTTTAGTATCTCGGACTCGGACACGACGTAGAAAGCTTCGGAATGAGCTTGCACATCTATTGGTGCCTCGGCTTGACGCCTTGGCCCTCGTGGGTGTCGAGCGAGAGGTGTTCGCTGTAGGTCTCCTGTTGCGCACGTGTCCTTGCAGGTCCCAACTACCAAACCTGCTCACACAACACCAGCGCTGACCTTAGGCGCGGACAACACGCTATTCAAAAGCGAGGGTTGTGTTTACCTCTACGATAGTACAAATATACACATCTATGCATTGTCTAATGTCCTACGTCCACTACCCGCATTGACTGTATACTCCCCACTGCTCAACTATCATTTCGCATTGGATTCTCGTCTTGGAGAAAGAAAGAGGTCGCAGCAGGCTGACCGCTACAAGAGTCCTGTAGCCACTGGTCGTATCGCAAAACGTTGCAGTTCGAAAAGTAAGAATTAGCGAATATGACTGAAAGGAGATGCCCCAAATTGAAACCTTCGTTAAATGATAGCTAAGAGGAGGCCATATCAAAGGGGCAACTACGCATGATCTGCTCGTTCAATCTGCAATCTTTCCACGACCTGGCCCTATAGTCTAAGAGATAATGACTGAATTGATGGATGGTTCTTGCTTTTCCAGCCGAGGCTTACCCTCTTATATTGAATACTGGAGAGAGTATCTACTGGATCAAAATAGTCAAGACCACTACTTTGCACCCCTTGCCAGTATGCTACCTTGTGCCCAAGCCGGCCCTTCTCCCGCGCTTGCCATCGACGAAGCTCTGATAGTTTGGTAATCCTCGTGGGTAGATGGATATTCTCAATCTTGAACGACTTCTGGAACTACTTTACAACGCTTCTTCAGTAAACAGCGCTTTACAAGTCCAGTGTCATCAGTTGTCTGAGCCCCGATTCCGTCTTGGTCCAAGGTAATGAATGAAGCATTAACTTCTGCCGAGCTGCTTTAGACCGCCATCCTCAATCAGAATCTCGATGATAACTACCAGACCAACGCAAGAGAAATTTCAAGCTGCCATGGAGATGTTTACACAATGCGCAATCCTGAACTACCCAACTCCATGTTCCGATCTTTGATTGCGGACCCGAATCTACTCATGGAACTACTGCGCACAACACATCGCGCAAGTCATACGCAACATTGCTCAAGAAATGCTTCTAGAATCTCTGGGTCGGCTAGACTATAGTAGAAAGAATTTTCTTGTGTCGCAAATACTTGCCCTCGAGAAGTTCCTTTCTCGTTATTATTGTGATGAGCTCTGCTTAAGTTGCGGAAGTAATCAACTGTCAAATTTGTGCTTGTGAGCTCCGCGTATTTCAAAAGTGATTGCTCTCAACACACCGCCCGAAAATACCAGTTGTGCAGCAATGCTTATATGACAGACACGAGCGTTATAGCGTGGGAGGTTGGGTAAGGCCTCACAAGCAGCATGTCTAGGTAGCAGGAATACTCCCTTTTGATTCTCTCCTAAAGAATATAACTGTGGGCGGCTTACCAGGTCGTTCAATTGTAGATTCGATAGTATTTCGTATCTTTGGTTATTTGGAACAACTCATTTCTACACGCCTCTCAATGCGGTTCATCCACGTGAGCCTTTGCATTGTAACTAGACTTTGCATGGCCATCTACAACAAAGCTCCGTCTTCCAGTTGTGTAAGTGGTCAAGACTCTGCCTACACACATCGGTCCCGGAAGGCCATGTATCTCGACGATACACCTGAGATTGCGTGTAGAAAATCTGCAAGGATCTTCAGCCTCATCTGCAGCGGGTTATCATGTTTGGTCTTTTCAGGGGGTTGCGGATCACTTAGGCAATGTAATTTCCGCTTTGATTGCAACATAGTCATCCAAATACAGGTATTTGGATTAGAGCATCTTTTGGTTTTGGGTCGTTTCGTCATAATGACGGAAATCTGATATCAGTATTGCTCCGAGAATCATTGTTTGTCTTGATTTTGCTGAGACCTCGCACGTGTTTACTACATGCCATATCCTACTCTCTTCGCACAGATGCCTATGGCCAGCACATTGCCTGCCAGTGAAGATACGGAAGTCTTTGTCTAAGAACACAGTTGGTGAATTGAGCTACCTTGATATCGGTCCCCCCCTCGGCGGTTTCGCGAACACTTCGAACTATATCCCAATCCCACTCTTGAGTGCATACATTTGATGCGGTAAGTCTGTGTCGTCGTTATTCGGCACTCGAGAGCGGTCCGCGCGACTCCTATGATGACTTGCGTTCCCCCATGAATCTCGATCATCAAGTCAAGACGGCACTTGTAGCATAACGGACGGCGTCCGTTGATTGAAATATCGTGAACCAACTCAGGTGTAGCGAAAAGGTTGATCAAATCCTTGAGAAGTACCGTAGTACTGCTTCGTTCGATATCGCAAGCTGTTGACTCGAATCTATCCCAAAAGGGAGTGGGAAATTCCAGGGACCAGGTCGGAATGTAGAATGAACTACGTGGATATGCAAAGGCAGAGTGTATTTCCTCGAAGGCAGGAATACATCCAAACATCGAGCTCGGCACAAGTTCCGACAGCATGGTCCATCCAATTACACTCAAAGCCACGTAAATTCACAGGATAAAGTTGAAGTTGTCGAGGCTATGTACTCGAGCCAATGTATTAACGAAAGATTTTTGGACGTCGATGAGTACATGCCGGAGCAGGGGTTGCTTGGGATCTTCGTATGGGAAAGTTCGCGTAAGACATTGCCTAGCTGAGCGCCGATAACAGTGTAATCTCAAAGGGATGCGACGGCTCGAAAGGCGAGAAGGTCTTTTGCGGATGAGTGTTGGAACAGGAAGACGAGGAACGGGGTACCGCTTGGATTGGGGTTGAAGATGAAGTGATTGCGAATAGTCTGCGGTGGCAGCATACAATGTCAGGGCAGAGTAGTAGAAGCAAAGCCCTGATATCAAGCGATTCCGCATCGTGGATTCAGATACCATTTTAGTTTACACACAAATGTATCAACATATCTGCTTAAACCGCTATGACTATCACCGGGGTCAAGTGGTATATCTGAACTGGAGCGACTCGAATCATGCGAAAATGCTGTGTTGGGGGCATGTTCGGGAGCAATGGGCGCCCAGTTGGAAAGACCGAACGCAACAGAAGGTAGTATCCGATGTCCACTTCCTGATTTCCTTATCCCACCCTTATGTCTCGGATTCTGTACATCCTCATCCACGCCGGGTTCTGGACTAATCATTCCTCCGGAACTAGTCCTTCCTCAAAACTGTAATAACCATTGCGCCCTGGCAGCTCTGTACCGCATCCCACGCTTTCCATTCGTGATTGAGGTGTGGATGTGTGGGCATCTCAGACTTGGTTTGGTGGACTAGGTTCGAATGGATTGTGCGGTGGGATAGAGGCCAGAGTGAGCTCTTATTGTTGCGGCGGTCGAGAGTCTTGCGGTGCGACAACTTGAAAGGACTACATGTAGCCGTGGGTGTTAGTCACGATATCTGGGTCAGACATTGAGATGGAGTTGCGCGGTGTGCACGCGATGCGCAATGCGTGTGATAGGGAGGCAATTGACGTTCAGGTGTGTTGAACATGCAAAAGTAATTGACCTCTCCCCCAGCGCATTCATGAGATTGTATTCATTTCAATAACGTGAATCTGATAATAGATAACTATGGAGGATACATGGTTTTCGGTGAGGGCGCGTAGCGTTGATTTCCCGCTAGTAGCATCATGTGATCGCGTGGAACATCACGCTACTCCGATAACAATCGAATTTCCTCGCGCATGATTATTCATCAATCGCGCAATCCTATATACAGCTGCAACATCCGAAGTAATCCTGTCCTCTCTGGGCTCTCTACTCTTCCCTGGAAAATTACCTACACAAATCTGCTTGACATGGCTTCCCTTAGAAGCAAAACCACCGAGCACGGTACCGAGCAAGAGGTGAGAAACGCCGCCCTCAAAGGACACGGCACGACACGGGGCCAGTCATCAAATAGTCGTAAACGCGCCGCCCCCACCACACCAAACAATGGCAATGTTCATCCAGATGGACACATCCCAATTTCCAATTTGGACAAAGCATGGCGCGACTCAGAGGCTTGCTTCACAGACACCAGCCCAGAAGGATCGAAAATCACCGTACCGGAAACCGCGGGGCCTGACCGAGACTCACTTCTTCTCTTTCGACTTTTCGGACATGGTGTGGAAAAGGCTGATCTCACACTCGACCAATATCGGCTCCTCGTTGGCGCCCGCGCCGACTACCATGCAGGCATTTCCCTTCACGACATCAAAAGTCGTCGGATAGGCACCAAAGTTCGCGCCGTAGCCAGGCTTTCTACGAAAGACGACGTGGGAGGGGATCTGGCTGAGATCGATGCGGAGTGGGCAGCAGCCAATAGCGCTTTCTCGCCAATATTCCAGGAGCTCGAGAGCGTGCCGGTTTGGAACCAGACCCAGGAAGCGCGGCTGGCGGGGGAAGACAGACAGAATCTCCCATCTCTCCAACGAGTGCGCCGGGTCGTTCGCTGCGAATGTGTTGCCGACGAGTTGTGTGCAGATTGCGAGCAACGCACAGCTGAGTTTCACAATCGGTATCCAGATATTCCCAAATATTCAAATGATGACATCGGCGAGGTGTTGGATGAGGATGACTCGGGCCAGGATGACGAAAATTGCGATTTTGAGGAGGTTGTAAACCACAGCGAGGGAGAAGAGAGCGCCGCGATGTTCGAGGACGATACGGCAGAGGAGCCAGTAGTCAGCCTCGAAAGGATAATCGATCTTGAAGAGTCGTCATCTACAAACTCCGATATGGAAGAAAGAGCCCAACACCTCGATTCCGCACCAGCAATCATCAGCGATGGCACACTATCACGGAAGAGAGTACCCCGCCCAGAAGGCGCATATCATAACGTCAAGATCTGGTTGAGCGACGAGCAATGCGCAATATTAGTCACCGCCTTTTATCAAACCGGAGGAAAGGTGCCGGTACGTGTTCTGCAAGATACTGCTCTCACGGACATGCAAATGACTCGGTTTTGGTACCACCATCTGGCCGCCAACGGAGGCTGCAAATGTCATCAAAACAAGCGAGTAAGCGACAAGGCATACTGGGCAGAATATCTGGGCGGCGAAGAAGTTCTGCAGTTTCCGTCTTACGAAGAGAGTCTTGAGTAAGGTTGGAGGAAGTAAGGTAGAAAGAAGGTATCCAAGGATAGAGTCAAGATGAAAAATGAGTACCAGGAGATTTTGATCGATGCCTTTTGAATATCGCTGGGCACTTCCGTACCGATCAGGTTGCATTTGTTGTGGAAATTGTAGACGGAGCGTCAGTCAAGTCCGAGAGCGCGGCAAAGTTCTGTGACCTTTGGGAAAAGAGAAACCTAGGAAGACAGCGAGCAAGAGCGCTGAGTGTACAGGTTCGAGCAGAACCTGGACAGACACAACGTCCAGTTGAGACTCGGCGCTATCGGGAACGTTCATAATGAGCCTTCAAGTTGCACGTTGATTAATATCTCTGGTTCGTTTCCTTGAGCCGCTGCGCTCTCGCCTCCGTCTCCTGCCAATGCTCTGCTTCGGCCGACAGTCCTCCTTCCAACTCCTCTATGCCCTCGTTTAACCTGAGGCATATTTTCTGCAGCCAAATGATCCTCGCGCCGAAACTCATGTTCCTTCCAAGGGATTTGAACGGCATGAGGCACTCAACACCAACACCAACGCTGACATACGCTATCAACGTGCTCGCGTCCTCCTCGATCAGTACAACAGCCTCGAAGAATTTGCCGACGCCTTCAACTACCTGCATATCCTACTGGAACGATTGCGGGTGGTCTGTGAGAAGAGGTGCTCATCAGGCGGTACGCCCCTCCAGTGACAGAAAGAAGCAGCCTGGGTCTTTGAATTCTTTGAAGAAATCATCAACTGCAATGTGTAAAGACTCGCTAAGTTGGCAACTCTTTGCACGACTGGCATTGACCCAAATGGCTTTCCTTGCGAGGCGTCACTAGATGCACATCGACTAGCATCAAGAGAGCTAACAATATTATTAACATGTCAGATCGAATGTTGATACTGTTAAATTTTGAGTTGAAGAGAAATCGGGCATTCTTATAAGTAGTGGGACGGCTGTTTCTACGTTAAGCTTTATCTCGCTCGCAATGTGTATCACAGTGTGTTCAAACGCGAGTGCTGCTCCATGCATCAATTCGGCAGTCACGCTATGCAAAATTCAAGGCGTTGAACTGAATCACAACCCCTTGACATCATCTGTGCATCTTCGATAGAGTATGGTGCAGCGGCGCATGCGCCTTCAGAGCACAGTTTGCTGAAGGATGTGCCGATAGTACTTCGACTGACACAGCCACCTTAAAAGAGGCTTCTAGGTCCGGACGTATGCTATATAACACGATTTCACTGCTCTGATAAGCAACGTTGGCACCGCAGCTTGACCCAGCTCGAGGTTGCTTCCCAGAGAAAAGGAGTCCATTAAAATCTGCATCAGACATGTGGACCGGCATCTCCGGCTTGCCGCCGGGAAAGCCTGTCTTCATTTTCTTCTTCAGACGAATGATCACCGGCCTGATGAGTATCTCCATCGCGCCGCAAATTACATCGACTAAGCTCGAGGAAGGCTGTACGACAAAAAAGTGATGATCGAACGCCCCGAAACCCGGCTTTCGTTGAGTGAGCAGTGAGCAGTGTAGGGCAAAAAGGAGTGAGTTGAAAATTCAGACAATGGCTCTTTGACTACATCTCGAAGTCGTACGAACCGAAGCTAGGGTGACATGACAGGCTCGCCCGAACTGGAAACAGACGATGGGTCGGGATTCGGAAGGGCAGCATGGGCAGCTGGCCGCAGCCTTGCGCCCAGCGCAGAAGAACAATGACGCATTAGAGCAGCTTTGGCCGGAGATGTATGCTTGGAGAAACCAGCTTTTGAGTGTTTGTCAACGCTGCGAGGCTATGAGGGCTAGGCTGAGGAGCTTGAGATTCGAGGTGGACTCGTCGGAACAGCCAAGTGCCTAGAACGGACTGCTAAGAAGCGCAGTAGAAATGAGAAAAGCGAGTGGGTAGCGGTCGACAGGCTCGGCTTATAGATCTTTCCAATGCATCACATCTCCTTCCACCCGACGGTATTCGAAGGCTGGTAAAAACCACCTTCACAATAGCTTCTCCTCTGTCCGCCCATGCTCAAACCAGCTCCGCATGACACTATTTCGAGACCTTGCGCTAATGTGGCGCAAGGCATGCCCATTGTGTCTTCTTTCAGTTTCCCCACGTTAAATAATGACCCGGCCGACGATATCACCCGTCTCAACTCTCAGATTCAGTCTTGCCTCGTTGACCTTCCATTTTGCGCATCGAGTAATCAACTGGAACGTGCGCATCGCGATAACAATACAGTCGGTTTGGTGGTAGCACTTTCCGATTGCTTTATTCGTTTGATGCTTCTAGTAGTTGTGTGTGATCGTTCATCAAGTTCAACAATGCTCGATCTTCAGAGACAGCTAGTCTCATGGTAACATTATACATGCCATCTTTTGTCATCTGGTAATTTCAATGCATCCTGGCACTGCTATATAAGGAACCGTACATGCCACATCAGGTTCAAGAGTCTCAAGGAACACTGACGAAAGCAAGGGTAATCAAAACGCCGAATGGATCTGTGAATCCAAATACATTATGCACGCAGAAAGAGGCACAGTAGTAGCCAAGAGCTTACACTCGCTTGTACGTAAATATTTCTGCAAGTTGCTCGATAATGCGAGAGTTATAGGTGTTACAGTGACAAGAAGCCTTTAACGGAGGTAAATTCATAGGCATGTCTAACGTGATTTGCTGGATGGTCGCCCTGCACGTATTTGGATGTGGAGAGAGTTGTTGCTTCTTCTTGACCTCGGTGGCAATCAAAGGAGGTGGCGGAGGAGAGGGACTTGATGAGAATACAAAACAGGCGATACTATTGATTTATGAAATCCCTACGGCCTGCAATTCGCCCTTCTTGTTGGAACTGTAAACGCCTGCAGCCGTCAGAAGTGGACTAGGCAGTAGCCCTAGTTGGACAGGGTATTGCCGTTGACGAGGGAACTTGCTCTTGGAAGGGTGGAACTGAGGGCTTGGAGAGGGACAGCACACGCTTCCAATACGGGTCAATCATTTCCCATTCAGTGCGAGAGCTGAGGGGAGGTTAGACCTTTCGAGATAGTTCGACAGTGAGTGCGGAAAACGGCATGTCGAATATCGCAGGTCTTCTGTCATTTCAGCAATGGTTTATCATCAGGCGGCTTCGGCGCCATGTCTTCAGCATGAGCGTTCTCTGGACGCGCCTCGTTCATGGCAATACCAGCGCCCTCAATTCGATTGATTACCGCATCATCAACTGGTCTCGGCTTCTTCCGAGCTGGTGAGAAGTTGATGGCATTGCATGCTGCAATTGGATCTGCTGGTGCCCAGTCCTTGTACATAGACACTCCGAGGTCACGAGTCGTTGATCTCGGTCTCCGAGCCTGCTGCGTATTACGCAAGGTGATAACTACATTTTGATTAGGGATTTGATTTGCAGCTTTCGCTATGTCAGCAAGCGCGTCCACAACCTTGCGACGGGGGACTGTAGTTTTCTAGGCGCTTTGTTCAAGACGTAATCAGTCGCTACAGTTTCATCAGAGAGATGTATCTGAATAAAGAACAATCTTTGGTACACGATCAAAGATATGGTTCATTGCGGTGTAGGGCTAAACGGTCTGAAAGCCGCAATCCCATGCCTGACAAAATTGGTACGCCAGGTCCTCGAGCCATGCTGCGAGGCGCTCGAACTTATCAAGATTATCTTGAGATGAGGTGGTGATAATGTGGGATCTAGGTGCCATGTGCGAGAAGTGTAGTCTTATACACAGTCATGGTAGTTCATAACGGGCAATTGACGTGGTGGTGAGCGAATACTGAGGTGGATGATTGCAGATATGGCGGAAGCTATATGCTTGTCTGAGTTTACGCTGCAATGAATGCAAGATAAGGTAAAGACTTATGGCCCGAACAAACTGTGGTCGAGAGTTCAAGGAGAAGGTGCGTTGGCAAGATCCAAGCCGAACCTGCCAGAATGGGCTAGTGCCCAACACAACCAGGAACGTGATCGACGATTCCCCTATCAAGTTTCGCCGCCCAGCACTTCATTATTTCTGAGGCGGCTTCCAATGTAAGCGCATCTTCGCAGAATTTTACGCATAAACCCATCAGCTATCTCTATGTCTTCACTATATCCAATGCTGTATAGCTATGGTCATATCATTAGGTTGCCGAACTGCTCCAAGGAACACCATGACCTGACTACCCGCACTCGTCCATCTCCACCACACAACACGTCGCAAAGCTGCACATAAAATAAGCTGTCTCGCATGCCGGTCGCCAACCTCAATATTTGCCACACTTACCGTCGCGCCGTTCTCCATGGCGTTGTTGCACCTCGCGATATTCGCCACGATGAAGGGCTACAACAAAGATCCTCGAAGCCGCGACGCGTTGATGGAAAAGACACCTCGAGTTGGCGAGACTTCAAGAACTACGTGTTGCATAGTACAGCCTGGCTTGATACCAAGGGCATGCACGTCACTATTAGTCATTGTAAATTGCAGGAAACGAAGATCGTTGGTATCTACCAGAGCTGTGTTCTACAAGAACTTCCCCGTATTGTAAAAGGTAAGGGCACAGTACTCACAGCCGTTTTTGTTGATTGTTGGAAGACCGAAGACGCTATCAACGAAGGCTCATGTCCTTCCGAGAAGAAAAAGACCCCAAGTTCCTCGACGCACTCAATCCTGCTGCTATAGGGTAGACACCTCTTGCTATCGAGCCACCCGACCTTGCAATGTTATTGCCATTGCAACATTTCCGATCTACCGTATGTACCGCAGATCGAGGAGGACTAAGAACATCGCACGTGTTCGGAGCGGGAGGTCATACCAAAACCAAATGTACCGAGGAGTCTTTCATGTTAGAGAATGGAAGCAATCCTACTGAAACACTAGATGACAATCGTGTCATATGACTTGATAGCATCGTGAGGGGTTTACAGGTTCAGCTAGAAACTCGGGGGGAAAGCGAAATAGGATCCAAGAGGATGTACGTCTCCGAACGGCGAAGCAGAAGATATTGTATACTAAAACGCGTCTTGGTGGTGGTGG